CAGCGCTAGTGGAGACGCTGTGTGACGAACAGGCCAATCAGACGCGTGGGATCCCGGTGTGGGTAGCTGAGAGCCAGCTCCAGCCGACAAGCGCCGTACCTTGGGTAGTTGACTTCCGGCTACCCACCCCTACGAATACAGCAGGTCTCCCACACTCAGCATGTCGAATCCATCTGAAAACGTGCATGGACTATGACGTCACACCAGACAAGCACCTCAACCTCCTCCTCCTGCACCAACTGCTGGCACCCCTACTCAATCCCCGCCATGCGCGCCGGGCCGTGCCGCTGTCATCCATCTCGAGCACCTCGCAGACGCCAACATTCGGCGCATGTTGCTGAACCTCTCTGTGTTGCTTGCAGTACATCTCCAAATGCACAAAGGGAGCGAATGGGCTTTTTCTTGGAGACTTAAAATCTCCAGGTCCGAAAATTGAAAGGCCGACACTACAGCGCCTGTCAAGCTACCGGAAGCCACACTGTCGCCGATCGAAATGCCGCTTCCCTTATTGGTGGGACTGGAGGAAATGTCTCAACAGCAAGTGACGACAGCAAGTCTCGACCGCACCCAGCAGGCGGCGCTTGATAGGGGGACAGCGAACAGGGATCGATTCCAGCGAGGCACCGACATCGATCGGTGGACACTCTCAGCGCTCGCAAGGGCTGATTCTGCGTACCAAGGCAAACCATCACGCTTTTTGACCCCGAGCGACACGGAGATAGAGTTCGCAAACGTCGGAGACTTGGCAACGTCCTACGAGTGTGCGATGCCATATTCAAACAAGCCCGCTTACTGCGTGCGACCATCTCAGCAAACAGGGAGCTGTGAAGAGAACGCCGCGTGGAAATGAGCCGCCGCCACCATCTGGAAAGGCACTGTCAACTGCCACCACCCGACCAGGCAGAGATCAGGGGCTACGACTCGATTGGACACGGCCAGCTTCATGCTCCGTCTTCGTCCAGCACAGCACTTACTCAGAGAATGCGAACCGTCCGCATGACCAGGTGAGTTCCCGGTCTCCCCAGGTTCCATCAGATTCTCCATCGTCCATTGCGCGAGCTAGTATGTATCAATCCACTGCTTCGTCAAGGGAATCGCAGACCAGGGCACCGACTGGACTTGTGTGCCCACCGCGACGCACCGATCTACCTTTCCAGCCTCCTGCACGCCGCTACAACCTTCACTGACATTACTCGTTTCCAGCGCGAAAAACACCTCCGGCTTTGACTCGAGCAACAATGCCTCGACAAGCAGTTCACTTTTCAGTGGAAACACGGCTATTGCAGGTGCAGGCGTGGGCTTTGGGGGATTCGGCGCGTTTCACCAGACTCCGAGCTCGCTGTTTGATGCGCCTAAGACCAACGGCTTCGGAAGCACAGCGACTTCTGGTGGTGGAAGCTTTTTCCGCAACGACAATCCCTCAAGCAACGGCGGTTTTGGCGGTGGTGCAGGCTTTACCAACAACGCAGCAAGAACATAGGCGTTTGGGGAATAAATACCGGGGGAGGACAGAAACATTGAAACGAATACCGGCCATTTGGGCTCCATGGCGCACTCTTGCGGTATTTCCGCACAGCGTCTGTCTTCTCGAGACTTGGTGCGCATGCGCTGCGCTGTGCGACAAGGATAGCGCGCGTCGCTCGTTCAACACGATATCTCGGTCCAGAAAATACAGCGAAGAAGACATTGTGGAGGAAGGCAGCTGACAGGCAACATCTGACAAAAACGGATCACCAGATAACGAGCTAACACAAGGTGACATAGGTCTTTTTAAGGAAGAAGCAAGCAACATTTACAGCTTTCGGTGCCTTAAAAACCATTTTAATGTTTGGAGGTGGGATAACAAGCGGTTTTGGATCCGAAGCAAACAATGTCAACAGCCTCTCTGATTCGAATCCGAGCAATGGTGCTTTCATATCTGCCAACGACGTTTCAGGCATTTTTGGCGGATTCCGCACCACTTCAAACGATAACTGGGACTGGCCCAACACGATCTCAAGAATTCATCGAAAAGGAGAGCGTCTCCCAGAACCTGACCGCCCAATGCAACTATGCAACGATCACACCGCAAAATAATTACAAGGGCAAGTCGCTGCAGGAGTTGCGGGTAAAAGATTTCATGCAGGGAAGACAGTACGGCAACACCAATAGCCAAGCCTGTGGCTTTGGCAGCGCCAACCAGTGTGGCGTCGATAGAAGCAGTGCCTTTGGTTGCAACAACAACGACACGAGTGTATTTGATGCGGTAGGATTATTCCGTGGCAATACGGCGACTACTGGGTCTGGCTTCGGAGGCGGCTTTGGCACAAACAACAACACCACCACAAACGGCTTCGGCACTGGCGCTGTTGGCACTTCCAGCGCATTGCCTGCTGCCGTTGAACTCGCTTCACCTTCAACACTCGACCTCACCACCTTGTTCGGATTTGGGAACGCCGGCTTCTTTTATTCACCCTTGTCTCTCGTAATCTCCCTCGTTTCAGCTGCCTCCTCACTTCACATTCTCACCATCATTCGTCGCATTCCTGCGGGCCTACGGCCACTATAGCCGGAGCTGCCAGGAGCCTAGGATTGCCTCACAGAATTCGCATCGGCAGTTCAAGGCTCAGCACAATCTCAAGGAGGCCCCGGAGCCACCTACATACATTGAGCACCAGCGCGGGCTCAAGGAGGTGAAGAGCTTTTAATCTGATGATGGTGAGATGTTTTGTCTATTCAGTCTCTTGGAAGTGGATTATGTATGTCAAGTCGGCATGTCACTCCCCAGGCAGCATAGCCAAGGTCACAGCGATTTGCAGCTTTAATACATCCATCATTCTCCTCCGTCACTGGAGCGCTCTCCTCTGCAGCACCAAAAAAGTGAGTTTCCGCTTTGAGACTAAGTTGATTAAACACATTCCAGTGTCCACGCTGTTGTCCTCAGCCATCGGGCCGAACCCGTTGTCGTTCCAGAACCTTTTGACAATAGCAAAGGAGTTGAATTATCGATGTACCGTTCTAATTCCATTTCATGCATTTCTCAAATCCTGCTGTTGGTGGACATCCTGCCTGGCTTTAAGGCTACTCCAGTTGCAACAAAGATATCTGTGAATCCTGAGGATGGCCGTGAAACACACCCTACTGCCTCACATTTACTGCCTATTATCCTGCGACTTGTCAAAGAGAATACCTGCGAATGAGGCTTACTTTAGTGCCAAAGGTCGGGTCTGATGCGGTATGCACTACGATTGTCTTCATTGTGCTGTCCACGATAGGTGTGGAGCCGAGATGGTACATTTGATGCAGGTTTATGCATTGTGTTGGCTGGGATGAGTAAGTGATTCTTCTGTCAATAGTAGATATCTCTTTGCCATCATCTCTGCCCGGGCTCAGAAGTATTTTTTTTTTTAGATTATTTCATGGTCAATGTGATCGCTCGCGATCATCACCCAGGCGAGCGAGTTGACCCTTGCTTCTTCCTTTGGCTTACATCAGGTCATTATCACCAACATAATCTTCGTCGACACCAGGATTTGGACTTTGACAGTCAATCTAGCGAAGACTTCAATCACTGCCCAACATCTCCGCATTTTCGGCAGGCTTGGTTAAGGGGGGCGGGCTTTAATCTACTGACTCTGCTCCTGGCCGTAGCCTGCTAGGAAATTCTGTTGGCATCTTTCTCTGTCAGCCTGTCGCCAAAGCGTGGCGTCCTGAGCTCCGGATCCATGTTTCACCGGAAGAAGATGCTGGATCTCTGTCACCCATCTTGGCATCATCTTCAATCTGGTGATCCTGTCTTTATCGGATCCTGATATGTTGGGCCTACACCTGGTAAGAAGCGCAGGAGGCCCAGTCACCGGGATCTGAGCGCTCTTTACTCACCTGCAAGCTCATATAAGCGCATGCCATCACCATGTCGAATAATTATAGCTCATCCTGAAGGATTCAGATGTAGTGAAGCAGTCGAATATCTCCGTCGATCCAAACACTTCGACCTCAAGGTAGGTGTTAAGTGGGCCCTCAACCAGCTTTCCGAACAGATGCTCCCGCATCGATTTCAGAATCTCCGACACCTCACCCTCAGGGCTCGCTTCTTCTTCCCCGACAGACTGGGATCTAGCCATGGCACCCTCTATGAATGGTCTTTTGAATGCCGATTTTTCAAGACTCTGCGTGACCTTCAGGGACTGCGCATCTTTCTATCCTGTACATTTGGAGGATCACAACTTGGTGTACCTATCAATAAACTAGCGATATTGAAAAGTTACAGGCCGTAAACTTCCCAATGATCATCAGATGGCTTGATAATACGTGGACGGAAAGGGATCGAGAGCCGCTGGGACACACTCGTTTTCTTGATCCGCAGCACAGCACCGAACCTTACACCGTGGGACTAGTTGCAATGCTGGAATGCAAGACGCTGTAGTGTGTACAGTCTGTGTCCCCGATTGCTGCAGGTCTGGTGGAATAAGGCTCCTCGTGCTTTTGGTTTATTGCTGGTGCTACCTCTTTCCATGACGGTACATCCGACTGCAGGTAGAATTCATCACATCTGAAGCGGCTAATGATCTACAAAAGGTTGTGCCTAGATCAAGTTACACATTGGGTCCGATGGCCTTGTTAAACGCTCCATGTGATCGTGAACGAGGACCGTCCTGCATTTAGCGGTCCAACGATCCTGTATCCTGCCTATTGGCCCACAATGTCATTCCACGTCAGATCTGTTAAGGAGAGCCCTTGCAGACTAGTACAGTCCTATTTCCGAGTTCAAAGCGGGCGGTCTAGGGAGGAAGCGCATCAAGGAGGGCGTGCGCCTCAACGGGCGTTGGCGAAGCAGAAGCAGTGCATTGCCCTTACAACAAATTGTACAGAAAAACACCAGCAGAAGAGCAAGAGGGCGAGATACTGTCGTACAATCCCTGCTGTCATATCTCCTTTCCAAGCTGCACTTTGAAATCCAATGACGACACCCTTTCTTTCCCGACAGTATCCCTGGAACTTAGCTCGCGCCGTCCCTTCAGGTGCAAACCAGGGCGCCGCACAATGTGCAGCCCGGGACGACCGCATTCGGCGCACCAAGTGGACCGATTTTGACGCTCCGGCGGCGAGAAGCCCAAAGACTTGATCGCGAGCGGGCAGAACGAGCAAATCACGAGAGACGAGAAGGCGACGATGCCGTCCCGCAATTGAATGACGGGCAACGGGAAGAGATCAACAGGATAGTAAGTATCTATCTGCAGGCAGCACAAAAAGCAGCAAGAAAAAGAAGAACAATGACAGAACACTGCCATTCCTGCACAGATCTCCCTCTTCAACCTCAATAAAACCTCCTACCTTGACAACTACAAATTGAAGGTTGCCATGGAAGCACGGGTTTCGACATTCTCAAACACGAATTCAATAGTCTTCTAATCCAGAAAGTTGTCGCGTTTCCCAGCCTGAGCGCGCCGCTCACGAATACAGGCGTCACCCCATCACCGGGAGACCACATCTTCGCGGGCCTGCACCGTGTTGTGCCATTCGGCGTTCATGCAGCCCGCGGCCGCGCGGGTGCTACAGAGAAATACTCGAGACGATATTTTAACAGCGTTTGATCTGTTCCATGAGAATAAGAAGGGAATAAAAGAGCCCCAGAAATTGCGCGGGGTGGCGTTGGAATTCGGAGAAGGGTTGTCGGAGGAGGAGATTTTGCGATGATTGAGTTAGATGTGCGGGCCGATGACGGCGTTCATCGGGAGGACTTGATGGGCATTTGCTCGGGCGGGTAGAATCCGTATCTGTGCGAAAGGGAGCAATTTCCCTGTCGTTAGAAATTTGGTAATAGTAAGGGTCAATGATATCTGTGTGACACACTTGAGATAGTGCTGGCGTTTGGGTTGATGACTTCATAGCTGTCAGACTTATCATGATTTAATTGCTGTCGCGTCTTGTAATAATGTGTGATTACGATCGCGCCCACCGTTGAATCGAGAGAACTTCAACTCCGTCAACTTTGCCTTTTATCTCTCTTGCCAAAGCTTCCCATCACCATTGTCGCCTAAAGCGGAACGATGTGTATCATATCCAATCGAGGTAGCCCGATTCACGGTACCATTACCAACCCGCGAAAGCAGCAACAATAGCCACACAATCTGGCCAAATCCCAAGACTGAGTTCCATAGATGGGCATCGGGAGTCACTAACGACAAACAATCAAGGACAAGCCCCGTGGCTGCTGTAGTGCATGGCAGCTAAGTCTATTTGCGAAATACTAGTTGGCAGATGCTGCATCCCCAGTGTGTGCCTTGTGTAACAGCTTAATGAGGTATAGGGCATAGGTTCGTGAGTCCTAGCCAAAGTTCATCTCAAAGACAGCGTCGGATAAGACCCGTCATCTATGTATACACCACAAAAGTAAAGACTTAGCAGTATCGCAGAACGTTGACGTACCAGAGGGCTTTTGGTCATATTGTGTCGAATATGGAGTTTCCCCAACTCCAAAGAGTTACTTATCAGCCTGGGCGTGGTCAATTTCATGCGCAGGTTGTGTGGTGCTACTCTCCATGAGCAATTAGCATCGACGAAAGGGTTAGGGAACATTGGATGAGGTTGCCCAGGCCTGTCACAGATTGACGTGACAGCTCACGTGTTTTGGAGCCCAATGCCGTTTCTTCAAATAGCCAGGATAGAAGTGAACCAGACTTACCCCGTGATTGCAAATCCTAGGCCTTGATTTCAAAAGCACAAACAAGACACAAAAAGAGCTGGCATTACGCATGTCCTTCACCTCGATGGCAATTTCGAATGCTTGATCTGGACAGGTTTGGATCAAAGAGATGGAGAAGCCCTATGTCGTTTACAAGCATTCTGCGTAGGCATGAGAGGTCAGGTGCAGGAAGACAGCGTGAGTTATGTTAAGTAAGGCACTGAATTGTTTTTCGTCACGGGATGCTATGTTGATGTGAAAAGCTAGATGTAGCCGAAAAGGCGGGCTTTCACGAGCTCATATATAGCGACGATGAGACACAAAATCGTAGCCCGCACAGAGCCAGTCGCCATTTTCAAGGTCCTCAACAAGCTGAATGATGGGGTATCACGGCAGGCCTTTTCAATAACGTTCCCATCCAAATTCTAATGCCACTTCCCCTCCACTTCCTTTCCTTGGCATGCTCATCGCCAATACTAAAGGTGATGGCCCTGAGATCCTTTGCGATATCTGCATGGAGAATCGGTGCAAGACATCAACCAAGCAGAACAATATCATCGAAGACAAGAAACGCAGTCAGAGATAATCAGCCAGTTTTCTCACCAGCGGCAGGAGCCTCGGCCGGGAATTCCGTTTTGTTTTGCAGGATCATCACACAAGAAGTGAGGGATGAAAATGCCAAAGCGTTTGCTGACCTCGTGGTGAGATTGCATGGGGAAAGAATATTAGATGAGGAGGTTTCCCCCGTGGAGAGAACCTAGAAGACCTGGTAGGGAAGAATGCCCCTCTAGAAGGATTGGAGATCTAATAAGGTGGATTGCCCCAGAAGCAAGGTACGAAGGCCTGGTACAAAGAAATCGCCTCAAGAAGGCCTGATAAGGATGTTCCACAGTGTTCTGAGGTTGAGAGATATCGAAAAGGGACTTGGAAGACCTGATAAGATCGATCGCTCGCAAGACATTGAAACGTGTAGGACCTGAAGAGTCCATAAGAGATTCGCCTTTCCCGCATATGTGCTCCTATCGAGAATTCAAAATACCGCCGGCCTTAAGAAAGCATAATTCTCTTGGTAGTGCCTCGAACGCGTGCTTCTTTCTCGCTCCTGGCCTGACTGAAGCCTACGGGATGAGGGCAGAGAAGGCCCATGTTCATCGCCAAGAAACACATTATTGAACTGTAAAGCGCCAATGAGACGCACAATGTCAAGCTCCCATACGCATGCAAATTACACTTCGACGGATAGCCAAGTGCGCCTAGCAAAGGCTTCACTTTGCCGGATCTGTAGTAAAAGATCAGTCACTTGCTCCAGACTGACACGGTTCGAGATCCAGATGCAAATGCTGAGCTCAGACCGACGTAGCAGTGACGTTTCAGCCGTCCGAAGAGGTTAAAGACTTCCAGTTTGCGGTTTTGCATTTTCATCAGAGCAAGTGTTCCTTCCAATACCGGACTTACCCATTATACACAAGATTCAACACAGAATCAGTGAAACAGGATCTCGTGAAGTTGCCACGATGATGCTTTGGAGAGTATGTTGTACCTGAGCATTGATGGAGATGAGATGAGGTGCAGAGTCAGACGCAGGAAATTTGAGTTCAGACAACCGAAAGCATGGACTTATGACCCTGATGGGTTCAAGAAATACCTTAATCCTGGGTGCCATGTATCTGACATTTACATGCTATAATGATCCGTGAGGAGAGTCTATATTGGCGACTGCACTTGCTGCTGCTATCATGTCCCAGACTGTAGGCCCAGAGTTTGCTATATTTCAGTCAAAACGTCCGCTGTCTGTGTTTCGACCACGTCCTGCTTCCAGACACAGTCACCGTAATTGCACGCACCCATCGCAAGGCTTCCGGACAGACGAAGTGAAATCGAACGGCTGGACGTGGAACAAGCACGAGATACGGGCGATGACTAGCCACGTTGCGTAGAGCTGCGCTCGTGAAAGACAAAGGAATTATCACCGTTCTGGTTGGGCACGTCTCCACGCCACTCGAGGGCCTGGTGATGCCATTGTGTGATTTATTGGTGCCAGGTAAGACTTATCACCGTCGAGATCAACGACTTTCGACGAGGTAAAAGGCCTTCGGCCCTCTTTACCGGAGCTTGCCATTACTGCTCTTCCTCAGTTCGTCCCAAAGCGGTAAAAGGTCAAGCATAGTCAGGGCACATCTGCCACGTCCCATGTAACGAGGGAGGGAGAGGACTATGAAGCCGCGACAAAGAAAGTCGGAGCTTCCAGAGTATCAGGCTGGCCAATCCGCCGGCTCTCCACCTGTTTTGACTATGGCCGGCGCGATCAGTTGAGTAGATGGAGCATCGACGACATATTCGCGGGATGTATCGGCTTACAATCGCTGCCTCCATGGAAGGGTAAGCAAGCAATTTGCCGGCGACAACATATGAAACTCAGCGACCGACCAGAAATCGGGAGGCTCCACGAAACCCAGACTGATCAGACCGTCTTGAATGTTGCAGAATCGGTGCGATCAAAAGCTACCCAAATGCACCAATTGCAATAAAGCCCATGTGAGCAGCGTTGGCTTCTATCCTGTAAGCAAGCTTGAGATCCCTCACAGCTATGTCCACTACCTGGAACACCCTGTGGTGAACTTGAAAGCGGTGGTAGCAGCTAACAACATCGCTTTTCCACCGGCACAGTATGACTTTGCCATCAGCGAGAACATCAAGACAGACATCAATGTCCCATTCCCGGTCCAAGACGATCACCTAGATCATGACAACTACCAAGTTACCAATGCTGACCACGCGTACCCTGGTTCCGGCAATGGAAAGTCACCACGATGATGGTAGACTGTACAAGCTGGTGGACAACGATGGTATGGTTTCCGTTCACGGCCACAATGATCCGAAATATAAAACTTCAGCCTGAACGGCGGTAATCACTTTGATCAAGGTCGCCTATGCCGCTGTCACCAAGACCAAAGATTCTACCCCGACACCGCCCTAGACTCGAAAGGTAAGAAGACATTGAAGCAGCTACATTCCGATCCAACAACTTGAGGGTCTTACATGCGCGACTCCTTTCGTTGGTCTAGGATGTTGATCAACCGTTCGACCGGCAAAGGCACTGGGCAGAAGTCTTGTGGAGCTGAATTTTGATCACGCAGACCTACAGGTCCCAATCCTGCACCGCGGTGAGTTCATGGCCCTATTCGACAGGGTCTATGCCAGCGGTTCCAAGAAGCGCACTGTACGGGAGCTGTACGTCGTGATGCTTTAGTCGCCGTCCGCTCGGGAAACATCATGAACTCCGACACTTCTGAGCAGAACATGCTGTCGTTCAGACTGTGATGGACGAGCCAGATGCCCCGTATCCTTATAACTACACGCCACAGAACATCGGCTTTATGGACTCTGATATTCTCATCAGGGCCGGCATTGGCATCGCAACGGCGGTTCTCAAAGCGATTGGGTTAGCGCGCGAGCGGCGACCAAAAGTGTTGCGATCCGCGAGCTGAAAGTGCGTCTGCCTGTCCTGATTCCCCATCTGCTCAACATCATTCTGGGCAACTTCATTGTTGCGTTTGCGTACGATTGCAGATGATATGAGAAGCCATCGTCATCATTGGCTACACGCCTGCTAGCATTCAGGTTTCTGTCTTGCTGTCAATGGCCACGACGTACTCCAGTTGGTGGCAGGATTGCTAATGACATCGATCGAGGTGCATTTGGCAAGGCGGCTCGAAACCATATAGTGGGTTAGCCATAGAGGTTACCCTCCCCTCACATATTTCCCGTCAGAGTCATATGACAGTCAAAAGGGCGCGCCCACAGGCGGAAAAATGTGAAAGAAAAGTTAGAATGAAAGGAGGGGCAAACGTGTAGTGCTTTAGAATCGCTGAGTTCATTACTTCACAGGTACCTAAGCAGGGATTCATGCAACCTATCATGGTAAGTCACTTGCGTCCACGCCCGGGTAGAGAGACTCCAAGCTGATTTCCTTTAATAGACGAAGGTGAGCATGAGTACGCTGTAGTGCTCATTTGGTCCCGTTGTATTACTATGAAAAGACGTCCAGACGATAAATCAAAAACGACTTAGGGCAAAAATACCATGTCAAGGTTGAAATGGATGCTTTGTGCGCAAGATGTAAGAGTTCCGAAACAAGTATATCCAGGCATAGGTGAAAAGCATTCATTCCAAGGATTTATTTCCATATACTGCGTTTTCTTTGCTGCATAAGATTCATCGGCCAGATGATGAGCCGACTTCTCAGATTCTATTGGTGTCTTTGGGGTGGCTTTGGAGTGATACCCATTATGAAGACACGCTGATGGTTTTTATTCTTCCTTCAGCTCGCGGCGCAATACCTTGAGTCCAACGCACATCAAATCTCTCGTTCTGATGGAGGTATCCAACACCACTTACGCACCGCTATACGCATGACGATCAATTCTCGCTCATGCACCATTATTGCTGGAACTTCAGGGGGTAACTATCGTCATCCTCGCTGTATAGATGGACCAGGTGTACATCTTCATGTCTGAATTGCCGTTTTATAGTCTTCGCATGAGTAGAGACTATTTCTTGATGAGCACGTCCTACTAGTGACGACATATCTTGGCTACTCTTACTCAGAGGCGATTCTTCTTTTGGCACAGTCGTTCTGGGCTCAACAGGCTCGTGGACAGGATAAAACTCATGATGAGGCTCGTGGATTTGCTGCAAATAATTCTGAAAGTAAGCTTCCCAATTCTTCCATCTTCTCAGTACCTCCTAGGACATCTCGGTCTGTCCTCTGTCGTCTTGTTATTGCGGTCATTTCTGTCTATATACATCTCTCTCTCGGTACTCTTGTTCTGGGCGTGTTCTGTAGCGGGTTTCTGCGCGCTTCTCTTCATAAGGGCGATTCATCTAGCACTTGGTTCCTGTGGATGATTTATGTTTCTTTGCTTTGGGTTCTTGGACTGAGCGTGCTGACCGATCTCTTAGTCTGTCCGACGGCACACCCGAGGGTCGGTACGCGAGAGAATCACTTTCGTGGGCGTCAAGGCCAGAGGTTCTCATGGTCATACTATTTTAGACCGAAATGTTTACAGAATGTCGTCGTTATGTCACATCACCACCTTTGCGGGTAGTCTCGAGCTTGTGAACTGAGGCACCAATACAATCGAAACTTCCTGTCTCATCAGAGCAGCGCGAACGCGAATTCTACGAGTTCCAAATTGTACATGGTGTCTGATTCACCTCAATCGTTTCTGACTGAGTTCATATCGTCTGATGGAGAGCTTCATATCACGAGCTCAATCAGTCACTGCTATGGCGTTTCGGATGACTGGTAGCTTCGGCGAATGTCAGCCATGATCTTGCTCAATGATGGCAATAAAACCATTCGATTCCGTGGCTTTGGCGTATGCACGGCCATGAAAGGATCTGTTCATGACCGCTGATGTTCCATCACGCTCGAGATGAAGACTTTTGTAATCACCATGGCTCGCAAGCCGTCTATCAACGTCGAGACAGTGTGTTGTCTTGCGGGATGAGTTGCACTCTGCACTAAGGATATGTGCCGTTTGACCGTCCGCAGCCAGTAGGATGACTTCCAAATGCGGGTAGCGCAAATAAAGTGCTACTGCGTGTGGTCTCATTCTGGAGCCATCTCGGTGACTGTCACCAGCGGCGCCTGCTTGGGCACTGCATGGAGACTATGGTGTATGATGAGCAGCACATCACCGACACAGTTTTCGGTTACTTGCAGCTCATCGTAATACAGCCGGGGCATTTGCTGATTCCACTGATCTTTCAGATTGATTTGCATCTGGCTTTGTGCGACCTTCCCTCGTTTCAACTTCATAGTCGGTGTCGCTCTGACTGGCGCAATACCCGGGCAACATGGCAGAGAAAAGGACGAACTGACACCGGCCGTAGGAGATGTAGGCTGGAAGAAGATAGCGTTCACCTCGATGTCACCTCGATGGATTACCGAATGAGATCCGCACCCCCATCGCGGATGGCCACAGCTTTGGACTGGATAAATTCGGAACGGAAAAGGTCATCAAAAAGAAGTTTATCCTCGGCGATGGCATTTTCCAAAACGTCCAAGAAAACATGAAAATCGGTAAAGTCCGTCCCTTCAAGATGAAAGAATAGTGCACATCGCTCAGCAGACAAGCAACGGAGGGCACCCGGACGTAAATCTCGGAATCAAATGCGTGACTGGCTAAGCAGGCAGGACGTCGCGAGTGCAACACCAGTCGAGCTTTGTCTCGGACGGAGGAAAACATTGAAGCCACATAAAGAGGTTGCGCACCGGGCTGGATACGGCATACTCAAGGTCGTCAACCTTGATGGCTTTGGTCGCAGGCAACAACAATTGAACCTAATAGTGCTGAGGCCGCTCATGAATCCCACCCCCGCGAGACAGGGGTACGAAAACCAGGACGAAAGAGTTGGCAACAAGCCTTACATTATGAACATGTTCATCAGCATTATTCAAGCCGGTTTCGTCTAATTATGTGGGCTCGGTGCGCGAAAGTCACCTGGACAGCTGAAGATTGTGCCTTGAAGAGCTCCTTGGGGTCCACGAACTCTGCATTTCTCATTTCAAACCCAGGGGGCGATCCAGACCTTTTAACATGGAGGGCGGGGACGAAAGTTTTAATAAAGACATTCGAGAGGAGGTTCATGGCAGACTGGTTCCTACGGCATTCCATTGATGTCCGAACACTGCGCTGCCTTTTATATGAACTAAAAAAGAGTAGCATGCAAGCCAGAGATGAACGATGTGAAGCAAGTAAGTAGAAGAGATTTACCATGTTGAGGAAGTTTCGAGCCCACCCAGTAGGGGTTCTCAAAGTAGTGGAAAAAGCAGTAAAAGCACCTCGGTCAGTGCCCAGTCCCGTAGCTTCGCAGTATACGGAAGAAATTTACTACATCTAGTGCAGTCTAGTAAATCCTTTGATCGATCCTTCTGTGCTATGCATATGACTGCTCACAGACTCGAAGAGGGCCCTCGGCGCAACGAGGTAATACGGCGGACCTGCCGATGAAAGGGACTCGGACTCCGACTCGGATCCAGACTTCGGGCCTGTTGGAGCTGGCCGGGCGCCCGTCTTGAGCCAAAACACAGTGCAATGCAGTAACTCACGACACTGGCAAATGTTAAACTCTCCCACTCTTCCCCTTTCATTAAGAACAACGGCGACCTCAACCTCCCGCCATCCCCATGGATTGTCAGGAAAGTCGTCCCAATATCGGCTTGAGGACTGCCACCTGCAAGCAAGTGGTCACCTGCTGCTGCCCACATATCGTGCTGCTCCTCGTCACCGACCTGACGAGCAAGGTGGGCACAGTGAATCGTTCCAGCAAATGGTAACCTGCACATATGCTCCGTCGTGCGAAGCAGTTCCCACCCGAGATGACTTGCAACATACACCTGGTTAATTTCCCCTTCCTCTAATATACATGCACGTTACATAATACGGAAAGACTGCCTAGATTTCTTGTGCCTATTCCAGCTTGCCGTTACTGTCGTTATTGTGGTGATCACCGCCATTGTAGTCGTCACTGCTATTACTACTAACTTGACAGTCATCTTTAGCAAAAGTAGTGAAAGGTCTGGAAAATTCAGTCGCGCAGACACAAAAGCTTCCGGCGGTGTTGATATATGTTGGGTGCTCCTTGAGCCGAACGTCTCCTCTGCCCTGTATCAAGCTCGGCATCGTCAAGTTGGCACAGCTGGCTGTTGTACCGAAGACGGTGGATCTGTTAAGCCAATCGCCTTTATGATTATGGCTATAGCGTATGATGGGCAGCCCTGACGACGACAGCTTCCTTCATGCCTT